CCCCCCGGTAGTGGTGCGCTCTCGTAAAAGTGGGCGAGGCATTGCCCTCCCGTGAACTTTGGCAGATGTAGGTATCCCAGCCAGCCGAATCCTGAAAGGAGGCGAGAGTGACCTGTTTTGCGTCTCGCTCCTCAGGGTTGTACTCTTTGCGCCTCGCGGTCCTCCTCCTCCTCTTCCTCTCCTCTTCTCTGCTCGACCCCGGTGCAGACGAGCGCATCCGAGCCATGCCGAGCTTCCACGACGGAGTGCGAAAGGGAGGACTACCCCCGTGTCTGCGAGTGCGCGCGTCACGTGTCGGTGGTGCACACACGTACGTGTACGTGCATACGTATGCACGCGTCTGCGTGTACAGCAGCATGCGGGAATGCGCGAGCTCATGTAGGTCTTCGGCTATGTACCAGCGGACACTGCGACAGCGAATGAAAAATGAAGTCGGAGCCGCCGCTTTTCACCCTGGCCCCTGGCCGGGGGACGCGAAGGGCGCGTCCTTATAACCGAGATATAGCTATATGTCTCGCTCAGGGCGGTTAGGGCGCGCGGGGCTGGCGGAAGCGGCACTCAACTTGGGGATTTCTAACGTCGTCCGATAATGACCGCTTTTAGCGCTAATTGGCTTTGTCTCTTGCGACAGGTACCGGGACTACAGACCGTGGAATTACGCGGATGGGATTTTAATCAGAGAGAGCCTGTCGCCGATGTGGCTGGCGTGATGGATATTGGCAGTATCAGCTTTCTTCACGAGGCGACCTCGCCGTTGTTGACGAACGATAGTACAACCCTGCCTCGCGCAACCTTCACGGGGACGTTCAGGGAATTGGGTCTAGGGAAAACATCGCGGATCACTCGTGCCACTCAACTGATACTGTTATTATCTATTTATCTGTGTCCTCTCTCTTTCTCGTTTGGTAAGGGTTTGGATTCTTCCAAGCCGTTGCTCGTCCCGTCTATCAGGGCGGAGGACGTTGCGACGCGTTAGCGCGACGTCGCGCTGATCTCTCCCGACTTTCCCGTCAGAACAATCGGCAGGATAATCTCATTTCAATCACGCACGCCTCGCGCCGATTAGGATAACTGCAACGTCGATTCGACGTTCGCTGAATAGGTGTCTTTGTACAAGATGATATTGGCTGAGCCGGGCAAATATCACTACTGTGCCTGAGGCGACCAAATGGACGACGAACGAACATCCGCTCTTGTGGATAGCGATAATTCGTCTGGAGAATAACTCCTCTGCTTCTTGTAGATGGACGATAATCGAGGCGCGCTGTGCTCAGCATTGTGAGACTCTTAGCGCCAATTGCTGTTTCCACAGGACATTTCGATCGTTGCCTCGCCGCGAGATCATCTCGTTCTCGTCTCCGTACATGCGTCCCTCCTCATGCGAGTGCGGTTATTACAGCGATTGGTATTCGACGAAATGTGTCGGTAGGCTAAAACTTTACCCCGTTTTCTATCTCCGTTCGTCTGGATTGCTGCCAGAGTAATTTTAGCTTTTATTCGACGCTCAATAGTCTATTTTAATTCCGTGAAAACGGAGCATAAAATGTGACAGACGGCGCTAGATTTACATAAAGTTTACGTATCTGCGTAACCACACAGCAGCGAGTAGTGGCGGCTGTGTGTCTCTATATATGTAGACGTCCTATATAGTCCCCACAGGCTATAGTCCCGTTCTGCCGGTAGACCGCAAATCGAATTGACTATCGGCCGCGCGTATTGGAATATCTGTCAAAAACCACGACCCACCGTAATGAACATCTCTTTTTACTAGCGTCCGATTTGTAAACTGATTTGTTCCAATAGTCGAGAATACTTAAAAGTGCCAACAAACCGCGATATTCGCCGAAGCTGTCGTCGTGGGCTTCAAAGCGCGCACGTGGCATCGGTCCAGTTAAACCAACGAACTCACTAACTTTCGGGCTCTCGCGATTGCTAATTAGTAGGGATGTTCATGTAAAGCGTTTCGCGGTCTCGACCGCGATGAGAAATAAAGACGCGGAAGAACGCACGGTGCTTTTATAGCACTTTGCAATAATTGTGAGATATTTGCAAGTGAATCTCTTGCTCCCTCTTCTCTCTGATATCTTCTTTTAAGTTTCTGCACGAAAATATTTCATTTGAATCGTTCCTGTTTCACTCTCTCGACCATCAAACGCAGAGGCGCATAGATGGTAAACTGAAAAGAGATAGTTTTATCGGCGCATGGAACAATGACCATTATTTTCAGAATCGCAAACCGTTGCTCCCGGCATGACATGTTTCGACCATTTCCAGTCCGATTCTCTATTTGAAAACGAAGATATTCGCAACAGTTCGAGTCAACTACACAAAAAAACATGACTGATACTGACACGAGAACTTTTTGTCAACATACGTCAACATTAACGCGATAAATGACTTCTCACTCCCTTCTATTTCTGTTTTTGTCTTTTTGTAGCTAGTCACATAGAGAAATAATACTATAAATTATTGCGTGCGAAGAAAATAATTTTTTTATTAAATTCTACTATAACGTTAGTGTGTGACAATATATATATATATATATATATATATATATATATATATATATATATAATATTATTATTATATTATTATTATATTATTATATATATAATATATAGAATGTTTTGTGCTTGTCTATATATACACTCTTAAACTCTTTGACTGATCTGGACCAAATTTTGCATAGTTACTCTGCAACATTCTGCGCAAAATATAAACTACGTGAAACCTGGACACTCTACCGCCTCCCCCTGGTTTCATCCCCTTGACACTTTGTGGTAACCCGGGCAACGCCGGATAGTTCAGCTAGTAACCATATATGCACGCCACTACTGCCATTCTCGTGTTAGAGCAACCAAAAGATATGGTTAGGGCCAAAAATAACTACGATTTTAGTTGGATCGACCATTTTTTTCTCTCTCAGAGTAGAAAGACCCGGGAAAGACCCGGCAAATCGGTTAAGCCCAAGTTACTCCCGGCTGATGTTTACGGTAACAAGGCTCAGTCGATTAACACCCCGCTCGGGTCGTTACGCTTCCAGACCACCGAGCTAATACCACCGTTGACTTAAACCCCCGGACACTCGCGCGCGCGCGGGGACACCGTGTCCTCCGCGGCCGCGAGTGTTAGCCCAACGAATCTAAGCTCTTATTAATGATGAAACCACACCCCATGATGAGCCCCTGCCAAACTCATGCATCTATGACAGCTTGGAGGCGGAGCGACAGCGGTTCCGAAAGCGATTTTCGCCGGCCACGATTGGCCGGGTGTTCTTAAAAATAGTTAGCCTGGGTGTGACCGCGACACGACACACGCAACGCGTAAAATATTCCGACGTGTTCCGGTGCACGAGTGTGCGTCCGCGTGTGCCCCAAACGGCACACTCGCGCGCGCGTCACAAGATGCCATGTGGCGGAGAGACCGATACACCACGGGAGGACGCCTAAGTCTTCACTCTGATCTGCGACTTCAAGGTTCCCGGATCTGTCGCGCGCCTCCACAGTCTCCGACGGCCGTCGACCCGGACAGCCGCGCGGAAACTTGCTGGGAGAAATCGGAAACGGTGAAAACTCGCGTCCCAAGACTCTCGAGCGCGACTTCCCGCGATATCACGTGGAGTGCGCTCCTTGAAGTACCCTCTTGGCGTTGGTCAGAAGAGAGTGCGGGGTTATCGTTTTCCGCTTCATTCGGCGCAGTCTCGGTAAATCCCCCGGCGGGAGTACGTTCCCGCGCTCTGCCCCATCTCTCGTGCGGAATCGCGAGTTTTCGCGTATAACGCGACACACGTCGATCGCGTGTGTGATCGTTGAATTGATCAGCGACCAGGCGTTCTCGCGTGGTGTGCTCGATACAAACTTTAATTGATTTTGGCGTCCTGATACACGATTGAAGTTTCTCCGAAGCTGCGCTGTTCGCCAGATACGCAAAGATCACCGTGCGGTGAGACAGGAAAGAAGACAAGGGAGCGGGACAAGTAAGTCGAGTGACTTAAGTGGCGAGAAAGGGACGCGAGGGTGCGTTCTTGGCGGTTTTAGTGAATCAGAGCGGAAGATTCCGCGCGCACAGAATTGGCCGACACGGCAAAGTTAACGGTGAAGTTAAGAAAAAAGAGTTAACGCCGGCACTATCGAACGCGTCGGTGTCACTTCGGCGAGAACGCTGATTCATTATTCCAACGAAGAGAGTTGAGGAGGGAAAAGTAAGTCCGTTATTGCGGCGAGTAAAGTGCAGAGCAAACACGTCGTCGCAGCCTTCTCGACGGCAGGCCATCCTCGTCATCGTTTGATTCTGGTTCTCAGTTAAGTTTCTCGTTTATTGCACTCGTATGAACTGTCCGACGATCTGGAGACGATCATATCCTCCGGATAACTCCACCTGAGGCTTGAACTTAGAGGAAGGAACCGCGTATCGGTCGCTTGAATATCGACGAGGAGTCGAACAACCAGGACACGTGGATGATATTTTCTTGAGAGAACCTCGACTTGGACTACAACACGCTATTGCTGTAGAAGGAATCGCGAATCCGCAGGACTATCGGTCAACAGCTCCCCGCTCGTGATGAGCTCGCTCGAGGGTGAACGCGTGGACGTTCGGCGCGCTTCGAGAACTGCCTTACGGCGATCCAGGTGAACAGCTGCAGTGACCAGCGCGAGAGATCGCACGTTTCCTACGACGAGTCGCATGAAATGATGACCCTCGTGACGGACGCGGTGCCTTACGGCTATGAGGCGGTCACGAGGCCGCCCTACGACGCTTACCGTCACCATCATCTGCACCACCACCATCATCATCGGTATCGGCGCGTCTACACGCCGACGGAGCCCGAGTACCTGCAGGGATACGTCACCAGGAGGGACACGGACGATCGCGCGAGAATCGTCGGCGCCAACAACGCGTTGACCGCGGCGGCCGCCAGTCCGTTGAACTATCGCGATCGCAATGATCGCATCAGGTGAGCCGCGGATGTAACCGCGGATATCGATTACATCGCGCTTCCGGAGCAAGATCGCCGCTCGATGTGTATCTCGAGAGGGAAAAAAAGAAAAAAAGGAGAAAAAGTTTGATACATTTATCATACCTCGGAATATGAAATTTTCGCGAGAGGAATGTGACACTTGATGAATTAACGCTCGCAAGCTTTGTCCAACCGATGGATACTCCATGAAATATGACTAATTGTTCTTCACACACACGTAGGATACGACAAGATTGATCATCTCCGCGAGATTCCCCGACCGCTTTTCTTTCTTTTTCTCATCCTTCGCTTCTTCCACCTCACGGCCTTTTTCCCCGCGGCGCGTGAGGATTCGCGCGAATTGGATTCGTGTCGCCGTTCCTGCTCGGCCTACTATTGTCCTGCTATCTACTATCTGTCGTTCTTCGCTATGTATACCACGGTTCACGAGGTCGCAAAGAGAGACGCTTTGTCGAGTGGAATGTGATGTGGCGAAGATACGACGCGTAATACAAGGTTTATTCTAATATATTCCTTCCAAGAATTGTCAAGAATTATCATAATGAAGACTCAGAAAATTTCACGATATATTATTATTTCTTAATTACACACTAAGCGATCTCTTTTACATATGCATATTTTAAATATTAAATTATTGCATCTGTATGCTTTGAATATTAAATTATTGTACTTTAAAGATCAAATTGTGTTGTTCCGAGAAGGATATCAAGTAACTTGCAGAGAATTATTCGCATGATAGCGAAACACTCATACCGAGCTTGCATCTTACATCACGACCATCGATCTTCCCGGAATATTCTGCTCTTCTCCCTTTCTTGTTTTTTTGCTCTTTTTTCGGCCCTTCCCTCGCGGTGTCATGCGACTCATCGACGCGTTTATGGTGTTCGCTTGGCCGAATCGAAGCCACGGGACCAGAGTCGTTATCCCAATGAAAACCTGACGACGGCTTTACCGCGCATTAAACCATTTTCACTTCGTTCATTGCGTTTCGCCGTTCCACCCGCCGACACGTTGTAGGCCGTCTCTTCGCGGTCCAAGAGAAAATACTCGCGCGCTCGAGGGACCACCTGGAACGTGTCCAACCGTGGAAACCGCCTCCTGACGGACCTACGCGCCTACCGCGTTCACTATTAACCGTCTGGCGACGATAACTAAAAGAATGATTAAGGCAAGAATCCGGCGAACACATCGGAGTTCGCCGGATACCTGTCTGTGAGGGAGTATCCTCAACAGAGAGGTTGCGCGTCACGTAATCTCGTCAGAATATTGTCTCAAACAGGAAGACGAGAATCATGGGCTTTCTGCAACAAGCCGTTAATAATGGATCAGAAGTCAGGAGCAAGTTGTAAGCGAGTAGTAACATAAGGCAATGACAAGTCAGCAATCAGTAACTGCAGATGGCCAAATTTAGTTTCTTATGGCTCAAAAGTTACGATTATTTCATGACTGATCAATCAAATAGCATATCTGCCATTTTTATAAAGAGAACTGACCAGAACTAATTGAAGATTGTCTTCTCTCCGATTGACTGAACTATTGTGACGCAACAATTTACTATAACTTATTGCGGATGCAATTTTCTGAAATTAATCTATATGTATAAAATAGAATGTCCGTCTTTATGTTCTCCATTAACTCCTAAACTCTTCGATTTGAACTAAATTTTGGGTAGTTTCTCTCGAGAACTCTGGCGCGGAAAATATAGGCTACTATGAAACTGGACACTTCACCTCCTCCTCCTGATTTCATTCTTGGCACTTTGTGATAACTCGGGTTCGTAAACTCCAAGTAGTGGTTTATAATTCTGATTTACCACTAGTGTGAGAGATACGAGTGATGATTAACGGTTTGCAGAAAGTCCATTAGAGTTTATTTAACCCCGGGAGCGTGAAGGCTCCTTAAAGTTTACACAATGATACAAAGTATACGAAAGATATATAAAATATAGGGGATGAGAGATGCGAGTGGTAGTATCTCGTCGATCGAAGACATAGGTTTACCTTAGCGTTTCCTCTTCGGCCCACAATCTCGACAAGTACAAAAAGACAACTCACGACGTTGACAGGTCGCAGTCCCGATACACCCTCGATTCGGACGACGCCTCGTCGGTGATATCGGCGGACGCCTCGGCCGACCTCGAGTCCGGCTCCGCAGACGCCGACGAGACCAACGAGACCAACGAGACCGGTGAAACCAACGAGACGGGCGAAACGAACGAGGGCGAGTCGATCGAGCACGTGCCACATCCTCACGTTTTAGACGCCGGCTCGCCACACGGCCCGCGCAGATGTCTTCTATGGGCCTGCAAGGCCTGCAAGAAGAAAACGGTCACTGTCGATCGAAGGAAAGCAGCAACCTTGCGGGAGAGACGCCGCTTGAGAAAGGTCAGCTTCCGTTGAGAACTGGAGGAAAGTTGCCGAAGTCATACCAGTCCCCTAAATCGTCAATTTCTTTATTACTATAATATTTTTATTATTGTTATATATTATATAAATTATTATTAATTATATTTAATTAATTATAACACACAAATTACGTATTCTTATTATTATATTATTATTATTATATTTCTTTGTTTTTTATTATTAGACGGAAAAAAAAGATATTTAGTATAGCTAATATATATATTAGCAAATCTTTTAGCTATCACAACTAAATAACTTTGCTATGAAAGCAAGAAAATTTGCTCCTGCAGTTAATATTTTTAGTTGTCCATATATTAGCAAATCTTTTTTTCCGTGTAGACTAACAATGACATTTAACGGTAAAAATGAGAAATGGAGCAATGAGAAATATAAACGAGAAATATTCCGATTATTTTAGGCATGCTATTAAATATTTAAGAAAAGAATCAGTTACGATTGATGAGATGCGATTTAGGAAACCAGCACGATTCCGGCAACTTTGCCTCAGAACAAGCACGCGCTTTTGCACGCCACGCTCGTCGGTGCTTTGCACGTGGTGAAAGAGTGCTGCGAATTTTTCAACAGTATTGGTTTCCCGATACTCACACCTCTCGACAGAATCTTTTTTTCAAACAGCATGCAAAACTTCGCTTCTCTGATGCTTCGCTTTTACGGTGCTTCGCTGCGCTCGCAGTGATTATTAATTCCTTTGTGATTACTGATCTGAAATTGAAGAGATCACGTTGTAATCAATTAACTACTTCGATCTTGAGCAAATACTAGCGCTCATTGTTTCCTAAACAGTGACATCGATGCCGCACAGCGGACTGTATCATATCTCCTGTTTACCGAACATAACTGAATGCTCGGCGTAAACCGCGCCGCTGTTTTGACTGGTCCGGCCTGATAATTACTTGAGCAGCCACATGCGAGTCGTGTTTTCGAAGCAAACAACCTCAAAGGAAGCGCGCTGACAGAAAGGAAACACATTCATACATAAAGTAATCGTGGCCTAAGGGACGCTTCAGATGATTCGGATGACGGATAGCGTTTTGAATGTGGATCTAAGTATTAAATCTTACCAAGAGTCACTTGGTGCTTGTCGCTCGCGTGTCTGCGTAATACAGGGAAGAGAGTTGAATAAAGAAAGATATATTTCAGAAAAACGTCCCGCAACTTTGTATATAGACTGCGATAGGAGAGGGGAGAGAAACTGTTTTGCTTCAGCTATAATGTTATATATTTTGGAGAAGTGGCTGATTAATCACGTAAATCGTGAATTTCTGTGACAGGTTAACGAGGCCTTTGAGGTGCTCAAGAGAAGAACCAGCAACAATCCTAACCAACGCTTACCGAAAGTGGAGATACTGCGAAACGCTATCGAATATATCGAGAGTCTCGAGGCGCTGCTGCAAGGAAACCGACCTTCCGGACATCAGGATCACCCTTCCGCCGAGAACATGGTATGTGTCACGTGTGATTGCTCTAATTAACAAGATTAGCATCGGATGAGATGGATGATCAGCGACGAATCTCGCGTTCTCGTCGCACGTAGTCCCCGTTAAATATTATTCGTTAATCAACGGTGTGATTGAAGACAATTGTTTGACGAGGATAGCCCTCTGATCATTTTCCTTCAAACACGAAACGTCCGGGACATTTCGTGTGCGATATAATTCATCTATTTCGTGGATATAATTTATAACGCGCCAACGAGCAGCTTTTGATGTTATTTCGTAATTGAAGCTTCTTGCGCCTCTCGAATTACGTCTCATCCAATTCCTGTCGCGTTTTTACTCACGGGGGAGAGGGGGAGGGGAGATAGAAGGAGCTTTCTCCTGCTTCGGAAGAATGGAAGAGAACTTCTGCGACACAAGATGCGTTCAAGAGTTACAGTTGACGTGGTCCACGGCGATACACACATGTCCGACACGTGCATGGCGCACGGCCGAGCGGCCCTAATGGTTTTTGACCCGCGACACCATTAAGCGCGTATCATCGTTTTTTTCCCCTCCATAAAAAGGGTTATGCCCGAGTTTCTCGCTCTCAGAAGGGGGGCGCGCGTCGCGTCGTTTATGAAAATTACCGTAACGGAAATATGCCGATGCAATGCGGTGATAAACGAAGCGTTCAGCGCGAGGGAGGAGACGAGGGGACTCCTCTCCGTGTGTGGTGCGGTATCTGAAGTGGATTTTACAAATTACAGATTCAGCTCGCTCCCGTGCTCTTTGATCGTCTCCGGGACATTAATTCTTTGTACTCGACGCACCATCGACTCCGATTGTCGTCGGGCCGCGCGCGCGCACACACATACACACACACGCGCGGGATGCAATTCCGTAACTGTCAGTGACGTTGCCGTAAAAGAGCTAGAGGTTTCGTAACGTGCAACATGACATTGCAATTTTACTTTCCGCGTCACTTCAGAGTTCTCGCACAAAAGCTCGCGCGCCGGCGATGAAGTTACGGATCGCGAAGCGCTTTCAGCCTGCTGGGTTCGTTAAATTCCGCATTGAGCGACAGTCAGTGATATATCGCGGATGGATGTCTCGGAGCCATTCCGATTTCGGACGTTAATTGGAAAGTAATCGTGTTTCTCTTTCATTGAACTCGCTCCCCGGCGCGTGGCATTCGTCCGATCCCGAGCTTTATTCGTTGTTATAACCTACCGATACGCAGATACGTGCTCCGTGTCCATTTAATCGCGGATTTTATTCTTTTTACAAGTTTGCACCGACGGCAATTATGAAGGAGAAAGAAAGAGAATAAATAAGATTAGGAGAACATCATCCGCTCACAGTTTCAATGAACGAACCAACACGTTTTGGTTGATGAAACGACTCGTGGTCCTTAGAGTCGGATTTGGATCATGAGAATCATAGAAGTCCGTTAACTAAACACGTTGGTTTATTTGTTAAAAATAAACTTCACGTTAATATAGTTAAATTTGTATTTCCCTGCACAAGAAAGTACTGAAACTGAGAAAAAGAAAACTTGGAAATTTACTTGTGGGACTGAAACTGAGAAAAAGAAAACTTGGAAATTTATTTGTGGGATTTATGGAGTTTATTAAAAAAAATAAATTTTATTTTATAGAAATAAACTTTATATCTCACAGATAAATTTTCAAATATTCCTTTTTGTGTGAGAAGAATTATGGGGGAACGATTTCTGTTTGCGGTGAATTATAATCGCGGCGCGACTTTCCGTTCGTCGTTTCTCCAAGACGGATTACGGATTCGCCTGAGAATCTACGGCGACAAAGTAGCACACGCTGAAGCGAGTCGATATACGTCGTACATCTCCTGCTATTCAATGCGACGTCGTTACATCCCGGTTCGGATCGTAGAACGGATTAAACGATCAGACCCTTCGATTCGCGGGACCGCATAAATTACAGACCGTGCGACCGGAAGAAATGGAACCGCGCAATCGGCGACGAGATGAAGAGGGAGAGAAAGAAAGAGAACGAGGACAGAATCCTATTGAACTCCGACAAGCTTATTTTCCACGGGGTGCAGGGCAGAGCAAGCGTGCTTACCCGCCCGCCACTTAAAGAGCCACTAAGTGGCATTATCGAGTGATCCCGCGATCGTCTATCGTCACCCCGCCAGCAAGGTGAGTAAGTTCACGTCGGGCGAGATGGCGGTAAAGAGGACGGGGGGTAATCTAATGGATCCGCCGCAAGAGAGACAGACAGACAGACAGATATATATATATATATATATATATATATATATATATATATATATA